TGACAGAGGCCGGCAGAGAGGCGTTTGATCAGCTCTATCGACTGTGGGAAGGAGAAATGAGGAACATTCTGTCCACACAGACACCATCGCCACTCCTGCCTCTGCCGCTGGACTGTCAAAGTCAGCTGGTCAAAGACGTGCTCAATGTACTGATTGGGGTCTCCTCCGTCACGTTTCCTCTCAACGAGGTATATATGCATCAAAAACATTATAAAGGGTTAAGGCATGTGGCGTTCATAATGTGACATTACAGTGTGAAGTACAGAATCTAACTGTTATAGCCTGATTAGCATATAAACGCCACTCAGAACACCATAACACCTCCATAGCAGCATGTCAACCCCTTAGACACAAACAACTGCTTAGCAACACGCTAATCACTCAGAACACCCTAACAACTGCTGAGCAACACGCTAATCACTCAGAACACCCTAACAACTGCTTAGCAACACGGTAATCACTCAGAACATCCTAACAACTGCTTAGCAACATGTTAAAAACTGGCATGTTAAACACTAGCAACCACTTACACCTGCTTAGCAACATGCCTATTACTCAGAACACCCTAACAACTGCTTAGCAACATGTCAATCTCTCAGAACACCCTAACAACTGCTTAGAAACATGCCCAGCACTCAGAACACCCTAACAACTCCATAGCAACATGTCAACCACTCAGAACACCCTAAAAATCCATAGCAACATCTTAATCACTCAGAACACCCTAACAACTGCTTAGAAACATGTCAACCACTCAGAACACCATAACAACTCCATAACAACATGTTAATCACTCAGAACACCCTGACAACTCCATAGCAACATGTTAATCACTCAGAACACCCTAACAACTGCTTAGAAACATGTCAACCACTCAGAACACCATAACAACTCCATAACAACATGTTAATCACTCAGAACACCCTGACAACTCCATAGCAACATGTCAATCACTCAGAACACCCTGACAACTCCATAGCAACATGTCAATCACTCAGAACACCTTAACAACTCCATAGCAATATGTCAATCGCTCAGAACACCCTAACAACTCCATAGCAACATGTTAATCACTCAGAACACCCTAACAACTCCATAGCAACATGTCAATCGCTCAGAACACCCTAACAACTGCTTAGAAACATGTCAACCACTCAGAACACCCTAACAACTGCTTAGAAGCATGTTAACAACTCTGAACACCCTAGTAACTCCATAGCAACATGTTAACCACCCAGAAAACTATTTAGCCACTGCAAAATTAAATGTCATCCACTCTAAACATCAAAATATTACAGGTTTTTCTGAAAGCAAATATTTAGTCCTTGTAAAACCTTGAGTTAAGCACAGTGAGACAAGGGGCATGTATTAATAGAACATTACATAAATGTCTTAATTTATCACCAACAGTGTTGTATGACTCTCTGCTCTAGGCTAGTGTGCAGTTCGATGTCCGTCCAGATATATGCGTGTCTGGGACATCCCCAGAGAGTGTGTCCCGTCTGCTGAGTGAACTGGCACAGTACGGCACACACTACCTGCGTCTCAGCCGGTTCTCCCTCAGCGGCGGCAGTCAGAAGGGACTCGTCTTCCAGGTGATGCATGCGTCTGTTTCTCACTGAAGCCGAATTTCATGTCCCTCATGCTTTTTTTTTTATAACAATTCTTGCGTGTCTCTCTGTGTGTCAGGCTTTCACTGGTGGTCTGCGGCGTTACCTGCATTACTACAGAGCGTGTGTGTTGAGCACTCCGGCTTCTCTTAGTCTCCTCACTATTGGCTGTCATTTTCGCAAACTGGGCCGTCAGCTGAGGTAAATCTTCCTTGACACACATGATGCGATGACAAACGGAATTTAATGTGTTTTAGTTTTTTAGATCAATAAATGTAAATGTAGAACATTCTCAATGCAAACCTAAGTGCTTTAGCCTTAGTGCTAAAAACTAGCCATAAGATCAGTTCTTGGCCAAAGTGTAAGTAGATCTGAAATTGGTATTTAATGTGTGCATAATATTGTCTGATATAATTTATAATAATGACATTTTAGAATTTTATAAAGTAATTATATTTTATCAGTACATTTCGGATGTTAATCTAATTGTAATTTTAAAAGGTAAGGCTTATTATCTGTTAATAATAGTAATATTATTTACATAGTTTACATAGAATTTAATAGTTCATTTTATTTAATGGATTTAAAAATAGTATAAATTTTCTTTCTACAGTACTATATATATATATATATATATATATATATATATATATATATATATATATATATATATATATATATATATATATATATATATATAT